TCGCTCTATGAAAAATGACTACCCGCAAACCTGACCCAAGGCCCATTGGGGGATATTGTCGATGTTATAAATTTTGATGCAAAACACTTTTCGTGGAGAGATTGCAGCAATTTTCATTCATATTGGGAGGGCTTAATTTATTTTTCGTCTAGATTGGAGAGTAATTGACCTGAAAGCTTTTTAAAACGGCAAATACTTATGATAAAAGTAAAAAGAAACTTTACTTGCAATTCGACCCCGTTTAATAATGCACACAATTATTCTAATTGGATAGGAAAACGAAAATTCTTCTTTGGAACAAAATATAATTCAGCAATGAATGAAAATTCAAAAGATGTTAAAACTTGACGATGAAGAAGTTGTGCCTTAAAAATCCCTGAAAACAAAAGACCTCTGTACTAGAAGAGAAACGCCATCATAAATCATGTAAATTTCTATAATATGGTGCAATATCAGTATTCCCTTTTTTTACACCCCATTACAATGCCATTAAATTAGCATTTTCGCCCCTGGAACTCAAGTATTACCCTGTAATGGTTTTCATATGGCCTGTCGGAAATGTCCTTTAATATGACCCTCGGCCACCTATAGTATTTCAAGTATTTTTGAGGGTCTGCAGTGGTCTGCACTATGAAGTGACCCTTTAATACGGGTCGATTACGGTTTTTAATTCAAGATAATGTTTCATGATATGAATATGTACAAGTTATTTAATGCTACAATGAAAAATGTAATGGGAGTTAGTATTTTTGAGAAATATTTAAAGTGTAGGTAGTCACACATTCACAGTTTGATAATTCTCCCACTAACAGAAGTTTGATAATTGATTTCAAGAAAATGCTGACGATTAGTCAAGACGTTTGTCATGTCTTAACATTTTCACAAGCCATTTTTCAAATCCATTTCTAGTATACTTACCTACTTTTTGTATCAAGACTGATACTACTGTGATTCTGCATTCTCCATATTCTGATCATTATATCTTTACCTACTTACGTAAGTGGGCGGAGTTTAAATGTATTTTTAAGACATGAAAAATAAGAAGGATAAGAAGGTTTGTCAGAAGTCTGGTTATAAATGTCATCAGAAAATTTTGGAAGTAAGGAAGCATAAGCCTCTTATTAATAGTATTTAGTTGAGTAAAGCTGTAAAACTGCCACTGGCCAAAGAGTTTCTGATTTGTCATAGATAGTAAGGTATAGTATTGTTACGAAAATGCATCGACAAACGTGACATCATGATTCTGAGAAAATTTTTCGTTTACGTCGGGCAGCGCGTCTTTCTAAGAATTCCATTACTTCGATTCGATGTTTTTCTAGCTATGTGGATCCGGAGTGCAATTTCGACTATATAAATAGAGTAACAAGTTGTTTTGATTCGATATTTGTCGTGTAGGTACCTATGTTTCGTCAATTTAGTTTATTAAAAGTTGTCGAAGAATCTTCAAGTCCGTGGTCATCGCCAACTGTACTGGTAACAAGGAAATACGGATTTTCCAGATTTTGCGTCGATTACAGAAAGCTTAACGATGTCACTACGAAAGACTGCTACCCATTACCCAGAATTGATGATATCCTTAATTATGACATTGGCAGACTCAAATTGGTTTTCTACTTTAGAAAGCGGATACTGGCAGGTGGGCATCGACGAAAAAGACAAAAAGAAGACAGCCTTCTTCACTGGAAGTGGTCTTTACCAATTCAAGGTATGTCTTTTGGACTCTGTAACGCCCCCGCTACTTTTGATGGAAATCGTACTACGAGGGCTTACGTGAAAAGTATGCCTTGTCTACCTGGATGATGTATATTAGTGATGGGAAAAACTTTTGATAAGCACCCACGAAACTTACAAGAAGTATTTATTCCGTATCCGTAAGCGTAAGGCAAACCTCCGATTATATATAATCAGCCAAAGCTGTTATTTGGAATTATTGGTCGTGTTTCGTTCTAGATTTTTCGTTATGCTGAAGATATCTTTCAATCTGACAAAAAAAAAACACTCTCCCAGCCAGCGGCCGTTAATTTAACGGCCGGCAGCCTGTTATTTTTATTTAACCGGCCGGCAATATACTTTCTCGATTTCAATTTTGCTCATGTTATATGAAGATAACATTACAGTATCACGAAAAAATTAAAACTGTCATTTGTTTTTACTTTATAGGGAATTTATGAAAAAACTCGTCACCTAATCGAGAAAAATAGAACCGGCGCTATTCTCAGGGGTTTTTACCAATGACATTTCGTTTTTACCCGGCACTTTCACCCACGGACGCACGCAGTAGTGTGAACGTAAAAAGTCGCGAAGTTTTGACCCGCGACTCAAAACCCCGGTTCAAAACCCAAAGGTGAGAATCGGCCTTAATAATTTATTCAAACTCAAGGATACATCTTCTGAATACCCACGTTTTATGACGAACCCAGATATCAGGTAGCTGATGCCGCTGGAAAGAATTATGTATATTCGAGGCATGTGTGTGTGTAGCGAAGTAATAATTACATGAGCTGGATTTTTAAGATACAATAAGAAATTGTATAACAATATAATTATCAAGGGTTATTACTTGGGTGAAATGTTTACTGTAAGATAGTCAAATGCTTAGTTATAATTAAGATATAGGTAGGTTAAGATAGGAGTGATTACTCAATTATTTTTTTATTAAATTAATAGAGGACAGTTTAGTTTATTTCACACCCTCGATAATTAGGTTACTTTTATTATTTACTCGACTAGGTTTTAAATTAAGAAATAAGAATAGAAATCATATTAGGGAATTAGAAAAGGGAAAGGTTTTCAATTAAAAGGGAAAACATTAAAATGTTCAATTAAGAATTTGACCACATGTAACTAGCGAGCCATCAAACTGGATTACAGGGTGGAGCAGTTTGAATGGGGAAGGTTGAATAAACTTGAGAAGTGAGAACCAATGGGAAATCAACAAGATACCGGAGGGTACTTTCAGCGAATCGTTGAAAGCTAAGAGGGTTAGAGATCTTTGACTTTGTCGATTCTCGCAAGCCCGGTACTAAGGGGTAGCCAATGGTCTTCTAAAGTGGTACCCAGAGAGTGGTTCCTTTCGCTTATTTAGGCAGATGTTGAAGCCAGTTAACTTTAGTTATCGTCAATTCGCCACTAGTTTTTACTACTAGTTATCGCCGGTAATTTAAGTCGCAAAGTCTCAACGGGTTCTCGATCCGTTTCTTATCCTCTAGTTCATCTGCCGCCCGGTGTTTTACTAAAAGCTCTCCAAAGAGGTGATAGTTATTTTTAATTTCAATTCCAATAAAGTGTCAGATTTGGAACTAGATCTTTCAATTGGGAAATTACTCTCTTTTCTTTCAATTGTCTTTAATTTTTCTTTAGTTGAAAATTGTCTATGGTCCATTAATTAGATAAGGTATTTTTAGTTTTAGTTTTTTTTTTAATTTACCTTTTTTTTATCTTTAAATAATTAACGCTAACTTTTCTTTTCACTCATAAATAAATTGATTTTAATCTTTCAAAATTGGTCTTTCCTTTTCTGGTTTTAAAATTTCCATTAAAACACTGGTGGTGGCATAGAAAGATCTTACGTGCCGGTTTGTGCGGTTGAAGAAGGTGTTTCCAGCATCAGTAGAAAAGTGGTAAGTGGTACTAATTTTGAGTCTCTAATAATACCTTTTAATAACCACTCCAAGAAGAGAAGAAAGAAGATTTTGTTCAGATTGCCTCCGGTTCAGAAAACTGTTATTTACTGCTTCAGATCAAATTTACTTTTCAGCATTATTTACTATGAAATTTTAAAATGTGACAAAATTATTCATGCTACCAAAATATCAATTCTTACATAACATCTCAAATTTTGTCACAGAATGAAAACGAGATATGATCCTAAGGCGAACTCTACAGGTTTCCAAACGAATGACGAAATTTGGCTCTATAACGTACCCTCAAAAAAAGAATAAGGTAGATCTCCCAAGGTCCACAAGTAGTAAGTACACGATTATAAAGAGATTGAACGACGTGGTGTATCGAATCCAACACGGCCTCAAAGGTAAGATAAAGGTGGTACAGGTTGAAAGCTTATCACGAAAATAAATGGTCAGATCCGGACGATCTAATTTAGGAGCGAGGCAGTGGTACGAAAATTAAAGTTGGTACTGTTTCTGAAGTGAGCTAAGTGAACCCGAAATCCGTGACAGTATTAATTATTAACAATCTTAGCCCTTGTTCCTTCAGTTTGAGTCATAGATAAGAAAAATCTATTTCAGCACAGGCCCAAATATGATTTATAGACAACAAACATATTTTACGATATTTTTACTATTGTGCAAACAAATTGCACCCATCATTGTCGCCCATAATTAGGCCTGCTTTTATGCTTATGTGATTTTGTGCACATACCTACAGGGTGAAATATGTATAAGGTATAAACTTGTTGAAGAAAATCCACGCAGTTTCATTGGTGAATGCACTTGAAGAATTCTACGAATGAAAATGTTTCGTTGCTAGTACTAATGAATAAGTTACATTATTATAGATTTTGCTACTGCAATAAATCTGACGTAATTTTACTGAAATTTTACTCATCAATTAATTTGAGTTTTAGCCGTCCTCTAAATTTGCAACCAATAACATCGCTGTAAACAAAGTTAGAGACGATTACGAGTATTGTTCATCGATTTTTAGCTGACACTTGCGGTATGAGGAGCGAGGGGGTGTTTCATATGGTAAAAACAGGTGTGATGTCAGGTACCCATTGGCGTTCTAATGTAGGGAGCCACCAGCTCACATTCCGTCCGAGTATCAGATTGAAATTGTCGGACAATACCTACACAACGAAATAATTTGGGGTCAGAATGTTTCCTCAAGTTTTCCGGTTTTCGAGATAATTTAAAAAAAAAATCAAAAGTTAATCGATTGTGCACCCTGTAAATAAATATACCTACCTACCAAAAATAGTGATTAACCATTAACCGTTGGGTTTTTTTTTACTAAAGTTTCCTGGGAGTGACACAATAACTATTTAACGGTTTTTGTGTTAAACAAATTGTTTGCCAAAGATAATATAGTAAATATATTGGCGTAACATCAAAGTTAACACGGTTATAATTGTTTGTGTCAGGTCGCATACATCTTACGTAAATTGTTTTAAGAAATGTTCAGATTTTTCAATTCTGTTGCTTTTGTTGCAGTTGTTGGTGTTGTTAGCACAGGTTGGTAATATTTTTGCTCCCAAATCCTTTTGAAATTTCAAATAGAATATAATAATTCAAAAATCAAGACACTTTTAAATGGATGGTAGGTACGAGATTTAAGTTTTCCTAAAAATTAATGGATTTAACGCTTTCAGAAAAGTTTTAATAGCGCTTTTCGATGTAAAACAAATTCAACGAACGCCAGAAAGCACAAACAAAACTTTTCCGGATTAGTTGAAAAACATTTTTCCAGCTTTCTAATGCGGATATGTCGGATCGTGATTTTAATGTTTTTTTTTTTTAAGTTTCAGCCAATGTATCTCAATGTTACCACTGTGATAGCATCTACTGTGCCGGCAGCTATGATGTCCAACTGGGAGAGGTAGTTAGTTGTAGCGATATTTACAAAAATGCTAAGTCGTATTCTGGCAAAATCGTTGTTGCTACCAAAAATGCATCATCCGATCAAGGTAAGAATTTGAGAATGTTCTACCGTCAATACACAGTAATTATAATACCTCGCATATAAAGTAAAGCTGATCATGCAGTGCGTTATTGCTTTACAACTCGACTCAATTATGATACCTAGGTACTTTAATTGCGACTAAGATCATGCTTATTCAAGAAATGCTTACTATATTTTCAAAATGGTATGTAAAACTCAACTTACAAAAATGGAAGATAGTGCAATTTCTTCGTAGGTAAATAGTTATATTTGTTGCAAGTTCTCAACATTTCACTAAAATCGTTATTTGATTAAAAATGTATCCACATCTCCACTAATTATTAATTGATTGTGTATTTCAAACCGTGTCGTATAGGTAAATTTATTTAATTTAAGCGTCTCAATTTGGCTTGGATAATTCCGGAGATATTGAAACAATAAACTCAGAAGATACAAATGAAGTTATCAGAAGGCGCACTCATGCAGAGTTTTTCGATATCCAGCGGAAATTATGGGAGTTTTTCCATAAAGGAGAAATTGACGCTAATACTGAATTTGCTTGTGTAAAGGCGAACTATTATAATAGTGAGTTTAGAGGCTTTTTTAAATCTATTGGCATATATTTACTTGTTTTTTTTTTTCAGATGAATACGGTCAAGTGAAAACCTATAGAGGTTGCCTACCAAAATATACAAAAACTGTATCAACGGCCTGTGATTTTTTGACCAAAAATGTGCTAAAAACTTCCACCAGTACCTTATACGAGTGCCACACATGTGACAGTAATTTATGCAACTCGGGCATTAGTTTTAATATTTCTTTTATTCTTATTCTATTAGGATTAATTTTCAAGATTTTTATTTTTTAGTTTGCTTTTCTCGTGCTTGGTTTATTACATTTAAATTATTTCGGCAGGATTCAATATGTATGAATCAATTAAAAAAGTTATTTTCAAAGAAGTAATAGCCAACCAAACTGTTCGTTTATTTATTTCACAGTAACCTTGTTGTGTCCAAACACTTTTAGTGGGTAGTTAAATTGCAAATACTTGTACATAAATATATGAATTCATATCCATGAGGCGGTAGGATGGAAATACTACGTCGACTTAATTTTTGGTAATGCGGCTGATATCATAGGTTGTTATGTGAAGTTTACTGATGGTGTTTTGGACTGTCCAAGCGTTTGTCTTCCCCAGCTCCCATGAGGAAGGGGTTGAATCACCATTCCATTCCATGAATTCCATTGTTCATTTCATAAATTATAAAACCTATCGTCCTGAAAAAAAGAAAATTAATTTAGTGTTAGCTCTAAAAACACGCCTTGAAAGAATTCCAAATGGTACCTATATCTTTTAAACAAAATACCTAACCTATATCAATCAATTATATATCCTTATTGGAAATTCTTATACCAAAAAACATTGAAATAGTTCAAAAATTTGATGAAACTGTTGGTTATGACTCGCTTTATATTGGATAAACTTCAAGAGTCCTAAAAGAAAGTGGATTTTGGATTAGCAGAACATCATATTGATACTGGTCATTCTTCAAATTATATTAATACTTACTTAAATTTTACAAGCTGAATATGATTTAAATAAAAAATCTTTTCATAATTAATAATTCAGCAAATCAATAAACCAGTGACAATCAAAATTTGAAATATTACAGACTCTTCAATGGCTGAACAATTTTTTTGGAGACAATCAACAGCCGGTAATAACCAAAATTTGGACTAACAACTGGTAGATTTATTTCCTCTCCAAGAAATGCCCAGCAAATCAAGAAACAGTGATAATCAATATTTAGACAGTTTTGGATGTTTAATTGGTTTTGGAAAAATAATTTAGCAAATCAAGAAACCAGTAACAATCAAAAATATATTTTTGAGTTCTTGGTCATACTAGGATATAAAAAAGTATTCTGACCTATCGTAAAGAAAAAAACGTGTATCTGGTTAAAATATATTGTCACGGCCTTGGGTATCGTGACAGAAATCTTGGGTTCGTTGTTCGTTTATTCCAAAATCAAAGTCTAATTAACACAGCAATAATTTACTCCATTTAACTATACACAATTACTTTAATAACTAACTCAACAATTAAACTCTTAAAAACTCACAACAATAATCACTATTTAAATCGTATCACAGTCAAACTTAAACTTAAAACTTCTAAATACCAGCTTGCTTTATATAGCCGTAAATCCATTCATGTACAATCTAGAATACACGCGATAACTTTCCTTTTCCCGATTAAGTAGAATTTACTAGATTATAGGAATATGTAATTTCTAGGGTATTCGACAGCCTAGGATTCTTGACACACTGGCGGCCGTTACAATATATTTTTTAAAACGACTCTGTTTTTAATCCTTTTTAATTTTATCAGTATAAGGTATTTTTGGGGTTCTTGGATCAGGAATAATTAAAACCCAATCTTAATATGCCGACGTTTCGTAAAATATATTTTCTTTTTCAAGGCTCTGAAACAACGAGATAGTTCGTATAAGAAATAAGTCATTTGAACTATTAAAAATGTTAAAAATATTCAACAATAATGATTTGGACATAATCTTTCATAAAAAGCAGAGAAATTAAATCGATAAAAAATATTTCTCGAAACGTCGGCATATTAAAATTGGGTTTTAATTATTCCTGATCCAAGAACCCCAAAAATACCTTATACTGATAATATTTTTTTAAATATAATTTTTGGATAGGTAATTGATAAATACCTCCTGGACATTTTGAACCATATGATATGTCTGTGCCTTATTTATTTTCTATTATAAAAAGTTAATTAAGCCATAGACTATAAACCAATAAAGAATTGAGTTTAATTGGCAAAACGAGAATATCAAAAAAGAAAAAAAAAAAAACAATTTCACGTCTGATGAACACCGAAAAATACAAACGCTTTTGCGTTTGATTTTTCTACTGAAATCTATATAAAAACAAAACAAATATTTAATTATAAAATTAAAAAAGTGGCTTTTGAAATCACGATTTTATCTGTAATTCACGGACTTCGTTTATTTTTAATAAAGTTTATTGTACGAAAGTTTAATTTTACTGAGGTTTTGATTTACTTAGCCATGACTTGGTCAGTTGGGTGTCCGGTATGAAGGAAGAATAACTTATACATACAATATATATTTATATGTGCAACATATTTTTTTGACAAATATGTAGATATAATTTACTTATTAAGGTTTTGTAATTGTTTTATTTATTTTTTCATCGATTCACAATACAGACTGCTCTCAACAACAATTTGAACGACTCGGAATAGATAGATATCGATACAAACATATAGGCACTTTAAAACCTAATAAAATATTCCTTTAAAGAATAGAAAGAGTGATTCAAATCAATAGTGAATCTTCAATTTTTTGTTTAAAAACATTCATACTTTTCAGAGTTTTAATATCTTGTGGAAGATGATTGTAGATTTTTACTGGTAAATCATAACAACTCATAGCTGTTTTTTTCCAGTCTATGATTTGGTAACCTCATTGAATCAGAGGTTTTTCAGAGAATAACCTCAAGCAACCTCTCCAGACGTCTCCCACTTACTCTTATTCTTATAGACATAAATGCAACAATTCAATATAGAAACCGAGATAATCGGGGATAATACCACGAGAGCTTCAAAATTACCGATAATTTTTCATTATTGCGTGTTTTCTTTAATTTCACGAGTCCGTAGGACTCGTGAAATTTGCAGAGAAAACACGCATGAGTGAAAAATTATTTGGTTCATTTTAAAGCTCAAGTGGTATTTAGAGGATTATTTCACGTATGAGAATGCAAAAAATATGGAAATAAATATGTATTAAACGATTTGAACATCTTAACAATCAATACAAATAAATGGTTGCTATCAGGAACCGTTTGTTTGTATCAAAAATTAGCATGACAACCATATATACAATAACATGGGAGAATTATCAGTAGTAATATAACAAGTGCAATGAAAATTATCGATAATTTTTGGGAAATTTGCCCGAATGCATTTTTAGTTGAAAAAGAGCACGAGTGCTCGAAGAGCACGAGTGCCTTTTTCAGTTAAAAACGCATGAGTGCAAATTTTTCCAAAAATTATAGATAGATTTTCATTGCACGAGTTATATTTTATAAGAAAATTTCCTGAATCATTATACCTGTTCGCAGTATTTTACTAGGGACCTTGTTTAAAACAATCATTATGTTGTTATGTTGTCAATCAACAAATTTGTCAAAGGTTTTATTTTCGAATTTGTAAACAAATATGGCTCGTTTTGGGAAGAGTTCAGCGGCTGATATTGATGAAAGTATTAAAGACCTTACGCCGATCAAGACGAAGAGATCTCAAACGTCGATTTGGAAATAGTCTTATCTACTGTATAGAAAGCTGATAATTTGTGTCTTATTTACTGTGAACAAAGCTGATAACTCGTTGAGTCAGGTAAAAAATACCTGAAAAAAATTATCGGCAATTAGCACTTGTGCAAATTATCGATAATTTGCACTTGTGTAAAATTATCGCTGTAATTCGCTTCCTATTTGTCCAAAATTGCCAGACGCCTCTGTTTTTTCACCTGAATATTACCTGAAGGAAATTTTCGAATGTAATACCACAAGAGGTTTCAGGATTACCGGATAATACTTTTACCTGTCACGTTGCTGGTAACGCGTTGAGTGTCAGGTAAAAGTATTAGGTAATCCTGAAACATCGAGTGGTATTCAAAAGGTTAAACAATGAACTAAACTTTAATATTTTCAAATTTAAAAAAAAATCTATAATAGAATTTGCTATAAATGCCACCAAGTGCGATAATCCCAAAAGGCTTATCATTTGTTAAGTCTCTCGTGTCATATGGGAATAATGTACAGTGGGTTGTATAATCGATATAAGCCATTATGGAACCTATATTCATGCATTTTGTGGACGAGGCGGAAGAAGAAGAGCGTCAAGAACAATTAAGATTGGAAAGGATAACCTTGCGAGATGAGTATAATGCCTTTCATAGGCCCAGAAGGAAATTCCGGAGGTATTTCCACCTCACTCCACACATGGCTCCTGTGGTTAGAGTCGGAAGAATCCCTATTCAAATTAGAGTATTGGGTGCTCTAAGATTTTTCGCTCAAGGCTCCTATCAGAAGGCGGTGGGAGACGACTTCAATACATGTATGTCTCAGTCCACATTTAGCAGGGCATTAAGTGATGAAGTATGTTTGGCTCTAGAGGCCATTGCTCCTCAGTGGGTTAAATTTCCCCTAACCTAGGCTGAGAAGCAGCTTAAGAAAGAGGAATTCATGGCCCAATTCGGATTTCCGGGAGTGATACGGTGTACCGATGGTACCCACCACTTACCCCTTTGTGATTTGCGCTATTTTACCACAGTAGTTTTACTAAATGCTAAGGCTAAAATAACATCAGGGAAAGGGAAATATTAAAGGCGGTTATTTTACTTCCCAAATACGAAATTAGGAAATATCTCTGGAAAATATTCAAAACAGAAGTATTCAAAGTATGACAAAACCTTTCACAAAATTACAAAACATAAACTCTGACAGAAATTGATCGTTTCACGATAATGTGTTAGAAAAAGATAGAAACAATTTTTCCATTACAGAAAGACCTAAACGGGTCTTTCTGTTTCTCTATGCCGACCGAACACCGAACGGAAATCGAGTGCTGCCGAACTGGCATACAGAATAAGCTTTTGTGATAATAGAAAGAAATTTCTTGCCTAGAAAGAATTTTCTATGTCTATGGCATTACAGAATACGCACTCAAGGTGCTCCCCTTTCCATATTACTCTATAGTTTCAAATTTTGGACGAGTCTTTTGGAGTGATAATAAATATACAAGAATGCCTAAGATGTTCCTAATATCCGTTCAACATTATTACAAATTCTTTAGTCTGACCTGCCTAGTCTAAAAAAATTCCGAAAGACTAGGTATTATTGTCTTCGGGGAATTTTCGAATAATTACTCATAATTATGATTGGTGAAGCACATATTGAATAAATAATAAGCCCATGTGAAAAAAATTATCCTTAATTGAAGTTTTTTTTCTTTTTTCCACGTCCAGTAAAAGGTCTAACCATCAGATAGCGTGCCACATACCAAAATTCAAAAGCTTCTCTATTGACCATAATTACGTTTTTTTTTCAAATTCAATTGAATTTTCCAATTTAAATAATTTGAGCTACCCTTTGTTCCTCTATTTTGGGTCAATACTATATGAGCTAGTCTGGAGAAATAAGTAGCGTTATGATTCCAGTTAATATTAAAATCACCAAGCATTATGGAATCATGACTTAAATTCAATAGGTAGTTTTCCAATCAACCCCTCCACAAAATCCAGAAACACTGCATGTGACTGATTTGG